GCCAAAGGGGCCTTTTAGGGTAGTGAGAGAAGATCTTCGCCCTGAAACCTACAGCATCCCTTTTCAGCCAGAAATAGCTAAGAGAATACGCCATCCCCTTTTCCTTATGAATCAGGGTGAAGTCTCTTTCAGGGAGGAGTGATAGGGAATGACAAGGGACACACTGACAAAGGAGATTAATCAGAACTGGCTTTGACAAGCACTGTGGCAATTGGAAAATTAAAACAGACATTCAAGGGGGGGCGGAAAGAAGGACGAACTGGTGAGGAGCATAGAGAAAACAGTGCAATAATGAATGAATGAAAACCCAAAATCTCTGTAAATGTTCATTAAAACTAATAGAATAAAATAAAAAAAATTTTAAAAAAATACTTTTTGAAGAAAAATCTAAAGCTATTTTTTTTATACCAGCGTCCCCTTCACTTTTTAAAAAAATCCCAGTGTATTCAATAGATGATTCTGCGTATTGATTTTAACAAAGAGGAAGTGCTTCTGAATTAACAAACTCATGAGAAAAGGTTACACAAACTTGGCAATTTCAGAAATGAGAAGTTGTGTAACAGGCCTTAGTACATTTATGACCCTTTCCATAGTAAGTGTGGCAAACTTTAAAGCATATTATTTTTGGTTCCTGTATACAGAAAATGCCGTTCAGTGAAGATGCCCAAACTTTGAAAGTGGAAGGAAAATTGTGACTTTTACTGTACATGTGGCATAGAAATAACAAGTGTAGACCTAAAGAAGCCATTCAATCTTGAATAACAAAATTTTCAATTAAAATTAATAATTGAAAACTTGACATTTTGGCATATCATATAAATCTAGAAAATATGACTTAAACTTGAAAGGAATCAGCTAAACTCAATGGCAAATAACAAAGACAAAATGTTTGGATAACTTGGTAAACTGGAATTTGGAGTAGCATTTCTTAATTCAAGGAATTAATGAGTTGAGGATTTTGTTGGTTTTTTTTTTTACTTCTGAATATTACAGGTATGTATTTATACTTTCACATATTTATTCTTTATACAATTGAAACAATTTCTGGAACTTAAAATCTCAAATCACTTTCAGTTTTTGACTCATTTCTCAACACTTCACACTGTAAATGATTCACTACTTGTCTATTAGGTTGTTGTTTTTTGGTGTTTTGTTTTTTTTTTTTTTTTACTGAGGTGGCTTATGTTTTGCTATGAGAGTGGAGTTCTGTCATCAACTCAGTGGCACATAAAAATAACAACAATTCCGTATCCTAAGAAGCTCACACAGCTCACTCAAAATGGATAGGTTTCAATTAAATACCTTTAGAAATATTATGAAGATGGCAAGGTGATTTACTTTTATTAAACAAACAAAAAAGCAACCCAGTGAAAATCAAATGAATAGTGAAAGGCATTAGAAATACAACAAAGGAAAAGCAAACTCTTTCAGGGAGAGTAACCAGAATTACATAGATGAAGTAAAGTTTAGAATCTTTATTTCCTGAGTTGGCCTGGCTCAAAATGAGAATAACTGCAAACTTCATTATGAGCTAGAAAAGTAAATGTATAAACTACGAATGAAGGACAAGTTGAAATTATAAAAATGAAATTAAATGCTTAATGGTAGACACCCTAGTTATTAGTGACCCGAAATGTACTGCAATTGATAATTTTTAACTAGTTAATCATATAAGCTACTGAACATACTTGGGTATGTTTCTAGGAGGGACCAGTCCTTGAAGAAGGACATCATGCTTGGAAGGGTGGAGAAACAGCACAAGAGAGGAAGACCTGTGGTGAAATGGAGTGACTCAGTGACCAGGGTAATGGAGGTAGGTGTGTCGGAGACAATGAAATCGGTTCAAGATAAAGCAGGGTTCAGAACTATTGTATAAGCCACTCAATTGCACATAACAGCAACATAGTCTGGGAATGATAAACTGAAGAGAAATGGCATACTTTGCATCATACTTTACATCATAATTTAGAGTAGTCTAAAGACTACTTACTGTGCATAAACCAATATTTTTTTATGTTATATTATGCAAACTGTAATCAGTGTCACAAAGCAAAATGCTTAAGAAAAAACAATTTCTTCTGTAAACTTTTACCCAAATCACAATACAAAATTTTAAAGTAAATGAAGAAACCCCAAACTGAACACAGACCCCTCAGTATTGTAGACAGTTTCCACATTGTTGTGTTCTTTGGTCAAGTTAGTTTTCACTTATAGTGACTTCATACTCTCTTAATACAATAGAATATAATAGAAAGAAACACGTTTTAATCATATGGCAACTACCAATATTTTAAGATACTAGAAATGTAGTTAGATACCATTGAATCAACAACGATTCATAGTGACCTTTTGAACAATTTTGCTCTGTCCTGAATCATCATGATCTCAATGCTTAAGCTCATTGTTGTAGTTAATCTGTAAATCTATCGTCTTGAGGATTTTCCTCTCTTTTACTGGCTCTCGACTCTTCCCAGAATGATTTTGCTTTATTCAAAGTCGGTCACCTGATGATAACATGCCTAATGTACACAAGAAATTTTCACCATCTTTGCCTTAAAGAAGCACCCTGATTATGCTTCCTCTAAAACAACTCTATTTGCTCTTTTGGTTTCCGTATTTGTCACCAGCACCAGAGTCCAAATGCTTTAATTAAGTGGTCTGAATTTTTTTACATTTTTTAAAATATCAAGACTCTTCTCATTGTAAGTTAAAGAAAAGAGAAATAAATCTGAACTTATAAGGCTGAAACTATAATTTACAAGTTAAGTTTTGTTGTCATAATTTTCTCTCATGAGAGTGGTAACTAAAAACTATTTTTTCTAATAGAAGCAATCACAAAACCTAATTTGTACTATCAGAAACATTGTCATTGAATACATAACATTCTCTTTTTCTCATTACCCTCAAGTTAGAATCAACTCCTAACTGACCCTTCAACAGGTTTTCAGAGGCTATGAATCACACATAAAAAAGATTGCCCATCTTCCTACTCCAGAGCAGCTGATGGGCTTAATTGTCTACTTTTGAGCTGGTAGAACAGTTGTTTACCCAGTAGGCAACCAGAGCTCCCTTGTTGTGAGTAATTGAAAACGGTCTTACCATTCTTTGCAACAGTTCTTTGGTTCCTATTATCAGAAGTTTGTACATTTTCACTCCGTTCCTGTGATCCAACACTCAGTGCCATATTATCTACATTCACTCTTCAAAGTTTTAATTTTACCCAACTTTAATATAAAAATATTGTTGTGTTAATAACACAGCTCCAAAATTGAGTTGTGCCACTTTAAAAAAGTAACACAACCTTTTAAACTGTGCTCTCACTGAAACTATAATGGTAGTGTCCACAAAACACACAAGGAGGCAGGAAGTCTAGTAAAATAGGAAGTAAAAGAAGTATGTTTTTACCCAGAAATTCTCATCCAAATTACCAAACAGAAAAATTGTTAACTTAATAGTTTTTAATTCTCCCAGGAGAGGTACATAACTAATATCATTTCAGAACCACAGAAAAGAAAACTACTGGTATGAAATAAAATTTCTTTTTTAAGACTTTAGGGTTTATGTATTTTGTGTCGACAAAGTTCACTTTAAAAGTAATGGAATAGAAATATACTTGAAATTTTGGCTTCTTAAATGAAAAAAAAATCCCAATTCTGTTTCTCTTTTTGTATGTGTGTTTCTCAGTTTTACTGTTTCTGTCTTTTTCTCTTTGTTCTGTACACACACATATAAATGTATTGAGAATGAATAATAGTTATTGTTGTTATGTGTTACTGAGTCGTCTGTGACTCATAGTGACCCTATGTAACAGCTCTGAACCCTGCTCTATCCTGAGCCAACCTAAATGTCTCTAACACACCTATCCTCATTATCCCAGTCAATAGTTAATCCATCTCATCAAGGGTCTCAAAATGTTATCACTAATATATAAAGTGATAGTGCTATAATTCCATAATTCATCTGTTTTTCAAACATTAGTGTTTAATATCTCAAAACTATTCTTGAGCTGATTTTCAAATTCAGATAGAATAGACTTAGGATTATATTTTGGTTATTTTTTTCTGAATTTTTATTTCTTCTAAAATTCAATGTCATTCAAGCAGAGTGTCAATTAACTTGCTGGTCAGTAGTTTTTAATTCTTTATTCTCTTACCACAATTTCTAGTTTTATGGCACTATGCTTTGAAAATCAGATAATTATGTGGTACATTATGCTGGGAATGAAAAGCAGAAGAAGAACGGTGTTGCAATTTTCTTTTTTTTTTTAAATGAAATATAATTTATTCTTTCTCATGATACAGGCATTACTAGGCAAGAAAAGAAGGCAAATAAAGCAAACTTTTTTCACCCATTTAACTAGATGCAGCATTTTGACATTTTTTAAATATATATATATACATACCATCTTTGACATTTAGGGTTTTCCTTCCTAGCTACTCTTAATCTTAATTCCTGAATTATATTTTAACTTGGAGCTCTGGTGTTCAATGCAACAAA